AGAAAGAAGGAAAGAGAGAAAGAAAAAGACAGAAAGAAAAGTACAGAAAGAAAGAAAAAGAAAAGACACACACACACAAATAAAAAATAAGGCTGTTAAATTGCAGTTTATCACTATGAGAATATAATTTGGAGATTGACAACATTTTTCCCGATGTACTTTCATCTACTATTAAATTATATTATCATAAGGTTATTTGTATTGGTTGTATTCTATACTGTAATTATTATTAAAGTTGTATAATCCTTTGAACGAATATAATGCATTGTTTCCAATGTGTGTGTGTGTATATATATATATAATATCTTAGTTAAAAATTGTCTAACGCCAATTTTTATTCTCTAAGGAGGGAGCTGTAACGAATTTGTTGTTATGTATTTAGCTTAATACCAACGTTGTTTAGATTTAAAAACATGCATAGCTTATAGTGTTAGACATGTATTGCGAGACTTCCGCCTGTTCTCCAAAGTTGTAGAAGATTCTCGAGAGTAAGAATCAAAAGTATATGTAAGTACGTAAACGTTTTTAATTAGTATTGTTACGAAATCTGAATTTTCTAGGAAATCTTCCCACGCCTATAAATATAACCAACGCGCCGCGCCAAGGAGAGTATCTATTATTAGTTCGCTATAAGCAGTATGCTATAAACTTCGAAAGCTATAAATGTGATTTTTATACCGCTTATCAATCAGAAAACTTAAGATATTTGACCAGGAATATTTATAAATTTCGAACTTTACAAATCGTCTAACTTCAGTGGATTCTCATCGGACATTAATATTTTTACGAAAACATTACCTAACTTCAACCGTGGAAAACCTCGTGTGTGTGGCAAAGGACAAAGCTAGCTAGCTTCCCCTTAAGTGAAATATATCTCCATCAACTCGTAATTAACTTGCTCATCGTAAATCCTCGATAAGATATCAAGAAAATTCCATACTAGAAAGAAAACTTTATATTGTTTGTAAGTTTGCGAAACTTTTGTTTATAAATCGTTGTTTGTAATAACTATTTGTAATAATTGTTATTGTAAATTGTACTGTTGTGTGTATGTTAAAACGTATTTGTGTTAAAAACGAAAACGGTGTGTATCAATCTTGTTGGCCAATATCGTAAATACACTGATGTGTGTATATTAAAACGTATTTGTGTTAAAAACGAAGACGGTGTGTATCAATCTTGTTGACAAATATCGTAAATTGACTAAAATATCGGCATATATTTAAATACTAAACCCAAAGTATAATTTAAATTATCAGTTAACTCGGCTTCGGACTATTCGAAATTCTAATATGTAACACACACTAATTCAATCCTGCATTAGGTCCGATACCATATTAGGGTCTTTCTATTCTATTAGATTTGGTACAGTACTGGACACTTTCTATTCTAAAACGGTTCTATAACAATACAAAACATAAAAATAAACGATATTTAACCAAAGTTTAAAACGTATCCAATTACATACATCTCAGGATACATCTTTAGTGAAGCTTAACTGCCTAACAGTGGTGGTTAAAGATTAATTTAGGTGGTTATAATATCAGCTTGGTTGGTTTTCATGTTTTACAAAATGGACGAAATTGCATTTAGATGGTTTAGTAAAAAAAATCATTTTTTCAGTTCACCCAAGTATTCATGTATTGAAATTCCTTTAACGAACCACAGGCGTAGAAACCTATTTATGCACATCTGTATGTGGGTTTATAAATACCATCATAAAATAAAACCCCACCTCGTTACCAGCTCACACACATACTTGTGATTGTAGTCCTACTAACATTTATTGCTTCCTACGCCTATGCTTTATTCATACAGTAATTGTATGATAGATTTGTTTGTTTGTAGTTAACACAAAATTACACAAAGGGCTATCTGTGGTCTAACAACGGGTATCTGAAACCTGGTTTCTAGCGTTGTAAGTCCGCAGACATACCGCTATGTCACTGGGAGCATTTTGTGATAGAATACAAAATACTGTAGATAACTAATAATAAAAAATATACCATTCTAAGATCTTGTTTTCGACATAGATTAACAGATTTCATAAATAGGCAAAGTTCGATTTATAATATTTTACTAATTAACTCAGAAGAAATAAATTAAATTTTTCAGAAATAAAACAGAAACACCAATTTCACAAATATTGAATTTTGGAGGCCCACTTTCCAGAAACGTTTGAAGAACATCTTATAAAATAAACACATCCCGAACTGCATGTTTTTAAACTGGTGAAGATAAATGTTACAAAATGTTTCTCCTGGTAACAGTTTTTTTTTTTTCCCTTATCAAATCAATCATCCAATAGAAGAGTGTTCGTATTTAGAATATTCTATTAATATGTGTAATAGCAAAGAATCAGTAACGTATTATTTCTTAACTCCTTTGGCTGAAAACTAATCCAAACAATGTTACTATCCACAAAATTAAGAAAATCGAAGTTCTATAAGGTATGGTGATAATTATTAAGAAATCATGAAAATAGTTCTGGCAGAAGGAACAAAGAATTACGGGTTTAAAAGTTAATATGCATTAGAAAGTATTACTAAGTGAAAGATATAGAACGATCACGTAAAATATCTATCCAGCCTCGACTTTCGCAGACTGTGCTTACTTTGGTTAAATGAAACAAAAGTACTATCATGAATAATTAAGTATTTTCTCTCATTGAAATAGAAATAAATGAGTTACTAAGGGCCTTCAGAAGCGCAAGTACTGAATTCTAAAGTGTTAGAAACAGAACAGATTGGAGACATAGATACATTGTAATATGTTTACTTACAGGATAAATAGGTGGAAATTAGATATAAAATTGAATAAGAATATTAATACTTTACTGAAAAAAAGAAAATAAAAACAAACAAACAAACAATGCTATCCATCACAGAAAAAAACATAGAAAAGTGTCATTAAATAGTAAAAAAACAACCTTATATTTAGAAATGTTCAAATACAATCTGTAATTTTTAGATTAAGATGGTCACTTTGAAAATGGATAAAATTGAAAATAATTATAACACTGTTGTTTTATTATAAAAGTCAATATCCGTTAACCCTTTTTTTTTTTTACATCTGCACCGATACCCGTTTCCTTAAATTAGGTGGTTAAATACAAAATCTTCGCTAAAACGGTGTTATTTGGGTTTCAGCATTAAGTTCATTTTTGGATTTTTCTCTTTTGTTATCCATCTCAGGTTCCTCCAGGTCTGTCATACTTGGGATGTAGGAGTGATTAAGAACGCCATTTTTCTCTTTTTTCAGATCAGCTGAACTTTCTGAGGACATGGTGGTCACTATAGACTGGTCACGAGGCAAAATGGACTGAAACAAAGGGTAAAACAAGTGCATTACTTACGATATTTCGAGCTAATACGTACGCATACATAAATTAGCACGATGAGCTAATTCCCTAGTATACTCAGCCAGAAATAAAACTATTTCAAACAAAAATCATCTGACAGGTTTCAAATTGTAGCCTCACGATGTACGGAACAATAAACAACTTTAATTGCCAAAATAATTCACACAAGATATCATAGGATAATGGCATAAACCTTTTTAAAAGTTTACGCAATTTATTACTTCAAAATATATATTTATGACTTTCAAATATATTTAGGAAAAGTTAGCGAGGCTTAGCAGTTATTATTTTACAACGTTCGTAAACCAAACAATACTGCCGTTCTTAGTGGTCATCGTGAATAGTACACCAGATATAACTCACCACGTTTTGACCAACTCGAAATCTTAGCTTCTTCCGCAGTCTGATGGGAAGGCAGCAGCATACTTTATCAAAAACTGGACAAATCAACTTTGGATCGATGTCTTCTGGTTTATTTGGACCTAAAAGGATTAAATATTCCAGCAATTACAATGGTGTTCTGTGAAATACATCGTCAGTCTATTACTAACTATTGTTATTAATATGCCCCCCCCCCCTCCAGTGGCACAGCGGTATGACTGGGGACTTACAACGCTAGAAACCGGGTTTCGATACCCGTGCTGGCCAGAGCACAGATAGCCCTTTGAGTAGCTCTGTGCTTAACTACAAACAAACAAACTGTTATTAATATAAACACTAATATTTGAAAATAACTTCGCCTAAATCGAACATTCAATTCATTACGCTTATAGATCTAGAACCTTACAATGAAATTAGATGACGAGGAACCCACTTTGAGACTAATAATGGCTGGAGACGGCTTGAATGGGTAATGAAGAAAAACTTTAATATAACAGCAAATGTACAACGTTTCGACAAGGTTTTTGCATCATCAATGACCTGAAGATGACAAAACCTTGTCGA